TTGTATTCAATTTTTACTACAAAAACAATTGCCAATCACAAAATACTGTTCAAATCAGAATTCTCAAATGTTTAAAGATCAAATATGCCGACGTGAATTAAATGAAAAACACGACTATTTATAAATGAGGACAAATTTCCACCGTAATATAATGGAAATAATACAATTAAAATATAACATTCTCACCATCCAAGAAGTATTTCTGCTTCATAAGTACATCTATCAGATTTGTATTCACAGTCTTCACTAATGGATGTGATGTAATATTCTAACACACGTAAGTGAGAGCATGCCGGGAGGTAATTAAAATGGGAAATAATATCCATACATCCTGGCTGAGTGTGGCCTCCATTTGGATAAAAGTCAGCATGGCCCAGAGACTATGGGTTGAAGAAATATTGATAATTTTATATTCAAATGTTATATCATCTAATTTAGTATTTATTGAGGTACGAGTCTGCCGTACAAATACAACCCGTTTGGGAGTACGTTAGACAAATAATCGAGTACTCGTATTAGAATTCGAATATTCATGAACATACGTAGACAATAAAATTGTTGACTTAATGGTCAAAGACTTGGGTCATTCCTTGTAAGTATTGCAATTTTCTAAAAAATGCTGTAAATAAAAACAGTTGTCGAGTTCATTACAGTTTTCTGTAGTCATAATTAATGCAAGTCAATTTTGATAAAAACAATGCCGTGGTTCACAATTTTATCTATATGATGACCTTGAATAAACTACTGTACCTGAAAAATACCTAAGTTTGGATATGGAACAGAACCAAGCACTTTGTCCATAATCAGAGAAGAATCCGTGTGTATGACGTCAACAAATACCGCGTCATCTCGCGAGACGCTGAAAGGTCCGGGCACAGACGTGTCGCCATGTTCAACCAAGAAATTTGGTCTTGCGGGATCAAGCGCTAGATTAAAGACATATTATCACATTTCTGTTAATTGGTTTGTTAATCGGTGGTTAATTCAGGTTGACAATTTCACTTACGCATTTTCATTGTAGACAAATTCATTAGCTCAAAAAATTAGTTATCAATAAATGTGATACTTATATTCACGACTATTTACAAACACGAACATTAACTACAGAAATTCCACTGTTATAAGAAACAAATTACTGTTGTATACAAGAGATATAATTATATATTTATTTATTTATTATAATGAACCACATGTTGTACAGATGTAATTATGTATTGAATTACTATCATAGTACAATCAGAGGTTAGTTTTATAGCCCAGAGTTATGCGCTTTTAACACTAAACTAAAACCACACGAATCTGAATATCTGAATGAGCATCGGGGTGATAAGTGAGCGTCTTTATGATTGACGCAATACTGTAACGTTATCTTCAGTATTTAAAACTGGGACACTCTGTTTATATAGGGGTGCTGCTCGAGATTTTGACAAACGAGGCGAGTCCACGGTTTGGATGGCGTGAAAGTTATTATGCTAAACTTGCAACTTTATAGAATTGTTATTTTTCTGGCCAGTTTATTTATGTGATTTTTACAATTATATAGTGGGGAATGTCATTTCCCCCCTTTTGTTGGATAATCGTTCCCGACCTTGCTCTGTGTAGTGTGATATCTCGTAACTCGTAAGGTATTTGTGTCGGAGCTTGATGAAAGCCGCTTTTTGTCAGTTACGAGAACCATACTCAGGTTAAATCACTCTTGTTTCTGAGTACATATGCAAATAATTGTATTGAAATTTATTGGTGACAATCAGTCAAAATTATTAGTGTTACACAAGTTCATCGTCGGAATCGCGCGGTTTTGCGAGCTCATGGTAAATATACTCTCCCACGATCCCGTGCGGGATTGCACTGCTAGGTCGCGTATTTTACCTCGGTAAAATCCATAATCTGATTTGAGGCGCCTCTAAAGCATGCACCCGGTCAGAGTTGGTGTAACATGCGACAACTGGTATATATATAATGTAGTGGTGTGTAGCTGTGAAACTTGTAATTAATGTTTAAAACACGGAATATATCACTTTTACAAACAAAAAATATTGAATATCAATCAATAATCAATTGAATAATCGGTGACGATGACGTCAGAAACTAAAGATCTAGGGGCCTTCTTACACGTATATGTTCTGAAATTTAAAAACCAGATTGAGAATATTTGTTTTAAATCGTATCGTTTGCTTAGTCTTATCAAGAGGACTTGTAATTTGTTTCATCCGTTATCGATTTGAAATCACCATGTGTTTCATTATATGGTTAACCTGTAAGGAATACGAGTTCCCATTACCTCACTGACTGCCTGGTACGTGTTTAGAAATAATTTATTAAATATCCAGCTGCGGTACCATGCTTCTTGTCAGGGGGCCACTTTATAAAAAAGAGATGTTATAGATTTGATGTGTTTAACTGCTCTACTGAGGGATGGATGACAATCTTTATGTACTGTATCACACATTCACAAATATGTCTGTTAATAGGATTCAGATAAAGTATTTATTTATTCCCACATTTTAAGATAATATAATGGAATTACGACGCTTCCGTTTATAAGAATGGCGAAGATGCATCGTCTGTTAACACCAACATTTGTAAAATTCGTACAAATGACACTTGATATTTAAAGTCGACCAAGGTTGCTTAAAACTTTCTTTCACTTTACGAATACGCAACACATTTGCATGTTTACCTGATATACGCTTTATCGACACGTCTCGTTCCCGCAGTCCATATAACACCTCACTAAGCGTCCAATCATACCACTGATATGCGCGCCTAGACTATGCCCAATGATGTGTATATCAGCACGTGCACGACCGGACAATCTCTGCGTCAAGGCGGCCACGTGTTGCGCAACAACTCTGGTATTACTTGCAGCTTGGTGGTAGTCCAAAATGTTCTGTAATTAATGGTACATATTCTTAGTGTATATGTACTTGGTTTACTAAAGAAAGATTTTGTTTAAATGTGAAATTACGATATCAATATTTCTTCCCTAAAACTAAATAATGTATTAAATACCTAGTCAAAATGAAGTGCAAGTTTTTTTCGTGGTAAATGCGGCTATTCAGAGAACTTTAAAGCCTGTGAATAGTATGTGCTAGTATATTTCGTTTATGTGCTGCAAACATATATTTTACCCATAGATTGAGTAGTATGTCAGGCCCATCTAGGCGTAAAGTTCTATGAAGTGCGTGTTAAGCCCTGAAATGCGAATATGATACAGACAATACGTACTTCCTGAGGATGTAAATTGTGACGCCTACAGCCTCATCTAGGGGCGTTACGTGTTCGTAGTTATACCACTATTAACCGATTTTCATAACCTGTGATAGTAGTATGATCCAATGAAAGGTGTTGGAAGACTTGTTGGAAATTCATAATCACTAACATGATATAACCAGATGTGTGTGTCGTCATTTCTCATGCGAGCATATCGGTGCATGCATTCCGGTCTGGGCATAGGTGATGGACAGAGATAGAGGGTTAGGTTTTCAAGATTAATGATTTTTCTGTGTATTTTGTACAGCTTTTAATTGTGAAATTGAGAGAGCCCGGGTCGAAATTATTTGTGTATACACCCTCTGATGTATAAGAATGATAATATAGCACGTAACATGCTTGAACTGCGAATGGGAGATTTTCATAAGTCTTTCTCCTTCTTTCGAATCTAACTATTTTACTTACAAAAATAACGCCGTTTGGATTCGCTGCAGTACCCCAGTCAACAGACATGATGTTGGCATATTCATCTTCAATGCCAATTAGACTCTCTGCCATCCTGAGAACCCAGTCTTCTATGCCTGTCTGCTGAAACCCGTGGATTATAATCTAAATGGATAATCGACGACGAAATAAACAATTCAAATTGTGTTACAGCGTAATTGTGTTTGTCGTTCCAGGATTGCAATTTAACGATGAAACGTTTGTAATGTCACGCTACAAGGTTATTTAAAGCGGTGGAGTCGTCACCTGCGCATGCGTCAGATGGCCATAGCGTGTCAATGTTTACAAGCAAGCGTTTACCCATGCATCTTTGCGTTTTAGCGTGTGTTGTTATTGTCGCTTGGGACTCAACTCCCGCACGTGCGCAGGTGACGATCCTCCTGCTTTAAATTTCCCTTCTTCTGCTTTTATTCCCGACGCACTAAGTTACGACGCACCAAAATTTTATTCTTGTGAAACTGTATATGAAACCAATTCCAAAAGCATGGATTGGAAATTTGGTAGTTCAAATTAAGGCGTTTTGGCCGAAATTCCACTAAAAGGATATATATTATTTTTTTGGCAAAAAGGATCTCTAACTAAAGTCCGATGCATTTCCATCATTCTCTATCTTTAACCTGTGATGGGTCACGGTCCATTTCAATCTTACCTTGGTAGACTGTGACATATCGAATTCCTGGGGAATAGGATCATCGAGTGAAAAGGTTATTGGTCGAGTCACGTTGTCAATGAACAAATTAAAAGTTGTGGTAATATTCTCCTCCGGGGCGACATTGAATGAATGTGGTCCATATCTCCCATCAAGACTGTATTCGCGACATGTTGGGTCTGTTAACGTGATGTAAGGTCAATTTGTCGTTAATGATTGAATATTCAGAAATTATCTAGTACACCAATACAGACTTGTTTTTTGTTTGTATTATTATCATGTTTAATTCATTGACATTCAGAAATAAATTAATATTGAATTAATATTCGTATGCATTTAACCTACAAATGAGTTATATATATGAAGTCCCCCACATAGTCAGAAGTATGTTATAACTTCGTGGCAATCAAAAAACGTAATTTGTTCAACACTACGTATTTTTACTTTGAGTAACAAAACATCTGATGCAAAACCTGATGTATTGCATGGCGCGTATGTTTATTATTGTATACATTATTTTTTTTTACTATATTTTTAATGGATTTTATTACCTAATCTTCAATTAAATTTTCTTAAACTTTCTCTGACAAAATTTTAAACACCAACAAATAATGATAGATCAAAATAATATAAATAAAATATTATTAAATATATAAAAAAGGTGTTTGAAACGTAAAAATGATGTGTCTACAGGGAATATTAAATTAACAAACTAAGAATTACCTCTGTGTTGTTCCATGACGGCCAGCCATCCACTACTGTAATCTATAGTAGAATTGTTAACAGACACACACGTATACAGACCTGCATCCGTTATTGCTACATTGGTAGTCAGGAACTCCAGACTTCCCTGTG